GTGTTTCTTCGAAGTTGTTCGCACCAAACGCCCCCTGGAACTAAGTTGGGCCCCTCGTCGGTCGCCCCCCACCGTTAACGGCCGTTCTCGTCATCCACGGGCTGCCCCGACGCGAACTAAGTTGCTCGCCTTCGACCGATGGTCTTTCCCGAGCGACTCGCAGCCGGGCCCAAGGCGCGACATGGTCCACAGACCGAGCGCCGCGCCAAGTCCTGGAACCGCTGCATCGCGCGTCCGAGCCCGGAGCGAGGCAAAGCCGTGACGTCAAAACTGCACGGCTTCGCTGCTCTTTGAACCGGTTAACTTTAGCTTAGATGTTGAGCGCTCTCCGGCCTCGATCGACCCGCAACCTATGGAGATGTTGGAGCAACAGGTTGTCCCGAATACGGCGCCGCCGGCGGCGCCGGCCGCTCCGCCGGAATCGCTCCCGGCGGAGCCGCCTGCGCTCGACCCCAAACCGGCGGCGGACCCGGCGCCGAGCAGCGAGGTCGTGACGCCCGAGGTCGTCGCCGCCGACAGCGACAGCGACGACGACCTCGAGCTCGAGGGCCTCATCGCCTGCCAGGAGACGACGTTCCACGAGGCGCCGCCGCCGCCGCGGTCGCCGAGCCCCGCGGGCCCCGACTACGCGGGCCTCGCGGACCTCAGCCGGGAGCGGCTCGCGTGTCGCGTCGCCGAGGCCGGCGGCGACGGCGCCGCGATCCGGACGTCCTGGGCCGTCGCCGCGCGGCCGGGCGTCGGCCGCGCCGCCGTGGCCTACACGACGACGGCGCCCTGCGGGCGCACCTTCGGGTCCTGCTGCGCGGACGACGTCCTCGAGTTCCTCGACCTCGCGCCGAAGAAGCGGAGGACGCCGCCGCGCGCCGAGCCGCGGCCGCCGCCGCCGGCGCCCAAGGCGCCCAAGCCGCGGGCCGCCGCGCCCACGCCCGCCGCCCCCCGGCCCGACGACGAGCCCGCGACGTACGACGGCGTCGTCTATCGGATGGGCGAGCGCGTCCGCGCGCGCTACAACCGCGGCTCCGTCGCCTACGGCGCGCTGGTCGCGCGCGTCTACCGCGAGGCCGACGGCCCGCTCTACGACCTCGTCTACGACG